TTCCATCCAAAACTCATAACTAAAATTTTGAGCATAAAGCCTGCTCTTTGTCATGTCTACAATGGTTCAATTTGTCCTTTCAGCAACACCATTTTCTTATGGAGTGTATGGAATTGTCATTCGCATGTAATTCTTTCATTTTTCAAATAAACATCAAATTGCTAAGATATATATTCACCTCTATTTTCGGTATACACTTCCTTGATCTTGAACTCATTTTGTTTGTCACTAAGTATTTTAAACTCTTTAAACTTCCAAAAGTACTTACTTTTGGCCTTAAGAATGTAGATCCAAATCTTTCTTAAGAAATCATCTATGAAAGTGAAGAAATATCTTGCTCTTTCAATACTTGTAGTCTTTATAGGTCCACATACATTAAAATATATGAACCCAAATAACTTTATAGCACATGTTGCTATATGACTTGGAAATGAGGCCCTTTATTGTTTGTCTTGTATGCATCGTTCATATATAAGCTGTATTGTATTTTGGCTTATTATTCTAAGATCTAAGCCACTTATTATAGACTTAAGCTTTGTTATATTCTTCATATTCAAATGGCTAAGGCGACAATGCTATATATTGAACTTGTCTTAGGATTGATATGAATTCACCAAATGTAGCTACTTCCATTTCATTGACCTTCTTATACTTGAAATAATATAAATTCCACTCTCTAAAGTCTTGGAAACCATATTTCTACACAATATTCTCAAAAAATATCCATTTATGTTGAATTGAACTATAAAACCTTTCATTATAAGTTCACTCATCAAAAGTAGGTTTTGCTTCATCTTGGACATATGGAGGATGAATTTGAATTTGATTCTATTAATTTGTCTATTTATTATGAATTTTATTATAATAGAATTAATTTTAATGGCTTTATATGTACCACAATCTATCAAAATCATATTTGATGTTGAAATATCCTCATAAGTATCAAATAAATACTTATAAGATATCATATGCTTGAAACAACCTGAGTTTACAATCCATCATGATATGGCAGCCATAAAGGTGTCATTTCCTATTGTGAATATATAATCTTGTTGTCCAAACTCATCTTATATACTATTTGCATTCTTCCTTTCTATCTTTCTGTCTTTATAGCAATTTCGAGCAAAATATCCTACTTTGCGACAAATGAAGCAAGTTTTAACATTACCTCATTGGTTTGAATAGTTGCCCTTGACTTGTCGTCAGTAAGTTGCTAAATTTTCACTTTGAGGCTCTTTTTCTTTCTTCTTCATCATTTCATGGCTTAATCTTCTTTTCACATAGTTCATTGTGAGTTCTTCCATCTTCATGGATTCTAAAACCACAATGAGGTAGTTGTAGGATTCCGACAAGCTCATGAGTAGAGTCATGACAACATCTGCATCTTCTAAGGCCTTGTCTATAATTGCAAGCTGGTTTGCAAATGCCTTCACTTGATTGATGTGTGCCATGAGGTCTTCACTCTCTTCGATATTATAAGTAAAGACCTTCCTCCTTGTATAGATGATGTTGGATAAGTTCTTGCTGTCATAAATATTGCAACAAGTCTTCTATGCTTCTGTTGGATCTTTGTAAGAGATAATGTAGGAGAAGTTGGCTTCATGAAAATTGCATGCAATCAATCCAAAAGCCTTCTTTTCATAATGTTTGTAGTCCTTCTTCTCTTTCATATCAGCATGCATGCTTTGAGGTTCATTACTTTCTTCTACAATATTCCTAAGATTCAAAGAAGTCAATAAAAGCTCGATTTTTACCTTTCAATGGTAAAAATTCTTATCTCTAAAGTTTTCAATTGTTCTCAAGCCTTCACCCTCATTTAAAGCTATGTTTAAGAGAGACATATATTTAAAAAGATCAAAAGAAATAGTCCTAAAGTTCTCAAAATCAGCAAAAAAGTGTTATTATAATACAATCTCAAAATGCCTTCTTTGTGGGTAAACTAGTGTTTTTGCTCTCAAAATATTTTCAACTTCATTTTTAGGACCTCTCATAAGTCTAATGAACTACATAAACGTCTCAAACCAGATTTGCTACTCTTATATCACTTTTATGCTTAGTAATGACCTCTAGGCACTATAAGAGGTCTTATAAACACCTTAAATTCTCTCTAACACATGAAACTACAAAGTTAATCCGAAGATCTAACTTAGTAAGAAAATACAATATTAGTACTCTATAACATTAATATAATGTTTAAATCAAATCCTAAATTTGAGATACACTTAAGTTTAAAAAAGAACTAATTAAGATATAGATCTAGATTTGAATCTCAAAGTTAAGAAATTCTAATTCCTAATACTAACAAAAATAACATGATCTACTCCACACAACAATAAAGACCTCATATAACTTCAAAACTCACAAGCAAATGTAAGTGGGTCCATAACTTGATGAAGAAAGAGAAGTTAGAAGCTACAATATTTAATACTAGTAAGGTTGCACACAAAGAGAAGTGTGGAGTAAGATAACTCTCACTTCCAACATTTTTTTCTTTCAATTAATGTTTAAATTTATTATAAATGAATGTCATCTATGATTGTTTTTATCTTTCTTTGCTATACCTAATTAAATCCTAGATTCTTCTTAATCTAGTTGCTATCTAGAATCTTAGCTACTACTATAGTAACTTGATTTAACTCTTTGCTATCTTTTGACTATTAGCAACTTACTATGGTTTAATTTCATGTGATGGCAACTATATAAAATCTTGGTGATCATCAATAAAATTGTTAATTGATAGAAGCATTAAATTTTATTTTAAAATCTTTTATTTTTTAATATTTTTAATTTTTATAGATTTTGATCATAATTAATTGTTATAAAAAATCATTGTATTTAATATAATTGAGGTATAAATATTTTTTTCTATTTATTTCTTATATATAAATAAATTAGATAAGAATTTATTTATGTTTTTGTTATAGTTTTTTATTATTTGGAAATTCTTATGATTTTAACTTAAAGATTACAGTCAAATATTGTTATATTAAAATATTTTTATTTATCTTGCAACAACAATAAATTCAATATTAGTCAATACATTGATATTTATAATATTTTTCTTTAAAAATAAAGACCAAAATATATATTTAATTCTAGCAACTATTAATACCTTTATTTTGATTTGAATTTTGGACATTAATTAGCATAATTCAGATGCATATTAATCTTATAAGTATTTTAAATTAACTTAATATCAAAAATATAATTAAAAATAAGCCATTTAAAGTTTCATTAGATAGCTATATTAAATCTCATTCAAATTCAAAAGTTGGATCTATTCTTATTCATAGACTTGTTATTTAATGAAATAACAAACTTCAGATTTAGTGCCTTATATGGCTTCTGCAAATACATAGATTTTTGATAGTAAATCTTCTTTTAAATGCTTCAATTAGTCATTCTATAATAGTATGGAATGAACCTTTAAAGCCAATGTATACTATCTTATATATGATATAAAATATCCTCTAAGAAAAAAAAATACTTGAGTAAATATAAAATAATTAATTAATATGTTAATGAGATTAACAATCAAATATATAATGTCAAATTAATTCAATCCTATCACTTTATTTAGGTTTAAAATATCTTAAATTAATATTTTAAATATTTATTAAATTATTAAATACATATTATATTTTATTAAAACTTTCATAATATAAAGAAGAGTTTCTAAATCATATATGATTATAGGTAAGAACTATAAAACTATCCATATTTATAAGTGTATTTATTTAGAATAATCATAATTAGGTAGAAATAAGTAGAAATAGATCAGTTTATTGATATCTTATTTATAAGTTTTTTTTGAAGCTTTGTAAACATGGATTTGATCTTATAAGTGTTTTTACATAATTTTAAGATTCAAAACTTGACTAAGAAGTTGGCCGTGTATTTCACATATTAAAAACTTAACCTACACGTTAAATATATGTCCTGTAAGTGGGAAAAATATCATATGGTTTATATATTGTTGTCACATAGCTTAAAGTTAGATAGTACATATAGAGACAATAGTGAGGCCTTTCTCACTTTTGTTAAGAATGTTGTATTATATGAAATTTAGCCCAAAAATATACTAAGAATTGGGTTGTGAAAGAATTTCAACATATCTTAAAGTTTTTTTTTGTAATCAAAAGACTACATGAATTGTTTAAAAATACCCATTTTACAAATTATAACTCTTTTAAAATCTTCTAGTCAATCAAGTTTTATCAATCAGATGTCACAGATGGCTTTACTAAAGCTATATATAATCATATATTTATAAACTTAAAAATTATAAATAGATGATTATAAATAGTTTTTAAGATTATTTACATGTCTTATATTCATCTCTAATATAATTGAGTGTATTCAAGCTTATGAATATGGGTTCTACTCTATAAGCCACTACTAACCTTAATTTAAGATAAAATAATTTTCAAGTAAATCCTAAAGAATCCTAAAAAATCATTATAAAAATCTTAATTAAACCTTATAAATCTTAGCCAAATTGTGAATTGTAATATACATGAGCAAGAATTTATACTAGACAACAACAATTATAGAAAGAATATATATATAAGAGTTTTCATAAATAAATATCTTTATTTAACTATTTTTTTGTAATTAGTAGAAGACAAAAAAAATAAAAGAATCAGATTCTATGACCTTTAAGTCTCCTATGTTGCCTAAATTTGTATACTCTTAAATTTGTGGTTTATCTTCTATCTTTCTAACAAGATGCACTCTCCAATTTCAATGCTTTTTTCTATTTGCTTCTCCATTCTTTAAACATTTAAACTACTTACTTCAAAGCCCCCTACTCACTTATTTCCAACCCACCTAATATCTAATGATTGAACTCAAGTGCTTCCTTGTTAAAAACATCTACTTTACTAAAAATAAAAAAGATTGACACAAGAAAACACTTCAGTGCATTTAAATAATAATAACACTAATAATTATGAGATGGAAAGTAAAAGACAAAGTCTGAGCAATAGCGATGTTAGCATATCACCCAAGACGGAAGCAGATCCACAACTCGCTGTTCAGTACAGCAACATGGTGCGTTAGGGTTTCACCAACACGGTGGGGATTGGTTGTTGTTGCGTGTGAGTGAGCCCAGTGCATCATCCTTCGCAGAGTCGACGAGCTTGCGCAGGGCTCGATTGGATTACAAAGGCCAAGCGGCATCGCTCGTGGTCGCTGGGTGAGGGTGAAGCGGCGAGCATTCACGGATGAGTGCACCAACAGGGCCTCATTGCCGCATTGTTACACTCTGCACCTTTCAGGTCCCTCGTCTGCTGGCCAAAAGACGAATCTTTGCAGAGATTCGGCGAAGTATATCTCCGAATGCTCTGCCACGTATCAGTAGTCCGCAACCCCGTTCTGGCATTGAAACAATTATCATCTCTTTTGCCTGGCTGTCGATTGTGCTTTTTCCTATCTAATCTGCCTCCTGAGAGACTGGATTTTACAGCACTTTTGCTCCAAATTCGCTGATTTGGGGCCACACACATGTGTGACAGCAAATCGACCACTAGGCTGCTTGTTCTGAGCAGATGTTGTGAGCTTGTTGTGGCATCAGCGTTGGTGACAGTCTGAGGGCAGAGAGTTGCAGTTTCGAACACCCTGTTGTTAACGCCAGGTGGGTAACAGACTGTAGAGGCAATCGTTGACGCATGTGAGCTTCGTTGGCCGTTGCGTAGTGCTGATGCATGCTTCGTGATTTTGTTACAATGCAGGCTTCTCATCTGTTGATAGCTTTTTGTCGAGGAGGTCTGGCTGTTTGTTGGTCAATTTGAAAGGTGAAGCTCACGGGATGAAGCATTCATGCATAGTTTTTGGGCACTGATAATGCATTGATGAAATTGCGTCTAAGAGCATTCGCGAGACTAGGTATAGCATAGAGATTGTCTTGAAGCGAAAGCCAATTGTATGGAAGGTTGTTACTATTGTTCATTGTGTGCTGTTGTGGTCGATTATCGTAGGCCACATGCTGCGCTTTCAATTGCCTTCCTGGGATCAGAGGGAAGAGCAGTGCGATGTAATCACCTGCGAGTAGTCTCTAGATATGAATATAGAAAGCTTTGGATTCACTTTCGCACTTATCAGGTGTCGAGGTGGCCCCAAATTTTGTACGGACTGTACTCAGACTGTCATTTTCCTTAGTTCCGTCTTATTTTGCACTGATACACCTGGTTCTTACTTAAAACTTAGGAAGTTTGCTGCGATCGTTGAAGCAAGGGCACCTAGAAGCTGAATTCGAGTCATCATGGTTTTCTCAGGAGCTCCTCGATTGATGGTCGTTTCAGACCTTGATAATACAATGGTATATATTTCCCGATCCATGTTTGAAGAAAAATGGTGTACCAGTTTGCAAGGAACGCGTTGTGGTGCTCTGAAACTTTTGCAGGACCAGCCGTCAGTGAGACGAATAAGGATGATTTTCCTGTATGATGCACTCAATTCGTCACTGATCACGTAACTTACTCCTCTCTGCTGTGTAGGTTGATCACAAAGATGACTCTTATACATCGCTTCTGCGCTTTGGCTCTCTGTGGCAAGCAGATTACGAGCATGACTCTTTACTTGTCTATTCGACGGGAAGGTCTCCTGCTTTGTATGCCGAACTGCGGGAAGAGGTTCCCTTGATCACACCCGGCATCACCATCATGTCGGTCGGGACGGAAATCAGGTATGGGGATACCATGGAACCCGATCACGGGTGGGAGGAGGAGCTCAATCAGGGCTGGGATCGAGAAGCGATTGTCGAGGAGGGGAAGAAATTAAATTTGAAATTCCAGGTGCGTCAGTATTCAAAGAATATGGTATATTCTTCTGTACTTTTCACAGGTAGCCTTTCTCTCTTTCTTTCTTTGAAAACTTAGAATCAGCGATCAGGAACGGGTTTGCATGAAACTGAACTGTTTTCTGAACGCTTTCAAGTGCGACTTGTAAACTGTCAGGTGGATTCAGAGCAGCGACCACATAAAGTGAGTTTCTACGTGGACAAAGCTCAAGCTGACGAAGTTATAAAAACCTTGATAGAAAGGTTCAAAGAGCGTCAGGCAAGACTCTTATGTCTGTACAAAGTTGAAGTTTTACTTTGAGAATATAGGGAGAGGTTCTCGATTTATTTTCCTTTTCGACATCTGCATTTCTCATGGAAAAGCGCCCCCACAGTCCAGGGCTAGGTCTAGGTCAGTTGGACCCTGTGTCCGTTGTTTACTAATCGGTGATTTACGTTTCTGTTGCGTATGTCTAAACTGCAGTTGAATGCCAAGATCATATACAGCGGAGGAGTCGATCTTGATGTGCTTCCAACAGGAGCTGGAAAAGGTCAAGCGCTTGAATACTTGATGAAGAAGCTGAAAGCTGAAGGCCGCGCTCCTGGCCATACTCTTGTGTGTGGTGACTCAGGAAATGACGCCGAGCTCTTTGCTGTGTCGGACGTTTATGGAGTTATTGTAAGAGGACATAATTCTTAGCCTTGAAACCATCATTTACCTTTTAATCTCTGTTAGAAACGTTTTTGTGATCTTAGTTCTCCTTGGTCTGCGTTGAAACTGGAGCGACGCTGGTACAATATCCAGGTGGGGAATGCTATGGAGGAGCTTCTTAAATGGCATTCGGAGTATCAAGGAGACAAAACCCATATCTACCTGGCGAAAGAAAGGTGTGCAGCAGGTATTCTCGAGGCTATGCAACATTTTGACCTGCAGCCCAACGTTTCTCCACGTCTGAAGTTCCAAGCATATGATGCAGCTTCTGAATTGAGTGTGTCCACTGTCGCTCACATGGTTGTTGAATATCTGCTCCTGATGGAGCAGTGGCTGAAAGCCGTCGTTGAAAACACCGACGCTGTTTTTAACCGTCTGAAAGCATCACTGGTACGTGCACTTTACCGGTCTTTTCTTGCATACGTCAACAAGTCTTTGCGATGAAAAGTTAATTTGTCATTATTTCATATTTGTACCGCTCGATTATTCTTGAAATAATGGCTTGCTTCAAGCGGATGTGTCCTACTCATGTTTGTACTGAAATATGATTTTGGTTGTGCACAGGCACCTGATGCCAGCTATGTTCACGCCTATGGAATAATAACTAATCCTCACGAGGAAATCGATACGATGCGGGAGTTACATGGTGTAAAGAAAAATAAACCCTTTTTTATTTGGGTCGATCGGATTCGGATAGAGCAACTATCAGATACCATGTATCTTGCAAGATTCGACAAGTGGGAGAAATCGAGTAAGTTTCATGAATGAATCAAATCTATGATCACATTATAGGGCCAGGACGGTTGTCTTAGTTGTCAGTTCAATGGCTAGAAATTTGGTTCACAAACACATTCATCCTTTGTCTCAGCAGTCTTTTCGGCATTTGTGATCCAACAGAACAGTTTCTGGATAGTGTTTTTATGAAGACAACAAGTGTTTCTTCAAACGTTGGTCTTTCATTAGAGTGCTGATTCCGAAACTATTTATAACGATGCAGGCTCTGGACTCTCTTGTGCAATCACAACTGCTCTTCTGCAAACAAAGGTGCGTCTCCTAAAACACTCTCACACGAATGTTCACTGTATTCACCACATACATTCCCGGAATTCTTCGTGTTTGCTTTTGTGCTTCATATTATTACGTAATCTCTACAAAATCTTTGATGCTTTGTCTTTCCTGTTTACCTTTAAAACTAATATCTTCTAATATTATGGTAGTCATGGCGATTTACCACGTAGTTTGAAAGTAACAGTGTGCGATTCAGCTAATGTAGCGTTGTCTGCCAGAGTGACGCCCCGAACGGATTACTGTGGAAGTTGATCCACGAGACATGGCTTACTGGTCGTGAAGGGAGTGGAGCTCCTAAATCGGCAGATTCAACGACACATGTTACAGGGAAGGAAGGTCCATTGAAGGAAGTCCTCAAGTTATAACAAGCTTGGGATTCCATTATTCTTATTCCGCTGCTGTTTATGATCTGCATCATGGTTTGACCATGGTCTTCGACGTTGACGTTTGTCGGTGCACGTACCGACTAGTCTAATATTTTTTATTCTGTTATCTAATGTATTTCATATTGACAGAACCCATTCAGGTTGCTTTATTGCCCCATCTTGTGTGGGTGTTTCTTAGTGACCTCTTAAGTAACCTCTGAAATCAACTGAAATGGGTGTGATTCTCAGTAAATCAAAACAGATTTGAAATATATTCAATACACATGCTTTCAAAGCATAAAATTAGAAAACACAGAAAGCAAATCTAAAACTACTTGATAATGATAATGTGAGTCGTGTTTCACTAACCATGGATGTGTGTAGTCATTCTCATGTATTCTGTTGACTTTCAAATAATTTTGAAAATACTCAATGTCATTTTTCCTAGAACTATGGATACTTTGCAATGTGACCTTATTTCAGTTTTGGATGTTATATTTGTGTGACGCATTGTTTTTAAATTCTGAAATTTCCTTCTCCCTTTTTTTTTTCTTTTTTAATATTTTGTGTTCCTATTCATTGTTTAAACTAAATAATTAATATCTGTTATATGCTATATGATTGAGAAATTATTATCAAATGTTGATATATTTTTAAAGCTATTAAATTAGTTGTTCATTAAATATTATCTTTTTGCAAATTTAAATTATTTTGTATCTATGATGTCATAATGTTTGTGTGATGCTAGAAATGAGATCTTGATGTAATAAAAGTATGCACTTTTATATTTCTAAAATTGTTTGTTTGATATAATAAATATTATTAATAAAATCACCAAGAATCAAATTTTAAATTGAGCATTTAAAAGAATAAAAATGAAAAATAAATGTTCATTCAATTGAAGAAAGTTTTAGCAGGTTTAAAAAAATTTAAATAGCTTGCTATGTATGATAGCCCATACCCTAAGGCAAAGTTGTAGAGTAAAGTTAAAACCTATAGTAAGGTGGTTGGTAGAATGAAGGCCTTATTAAAAATATACATAGAAAACAGAATGAGTAGCATGTCACTAAAACAAATCAAACTTTGGATATTTTTATAATTACCATCTTTAAAAAAAAAAGACAAAATTAACAAATTTGGAAATTTTTTCATTTATTACATAAAATTTCGAAATATTAAATAAATAAAATTTAAATTTAGAATAACATAATAAATCAATATTTATTCAGAAAGAGCATAGAATGAAGAATTCTATAATAATAATTAAAAAAAAAAAAAAAAAAAAACTAGACACTTCCAAAACAATCTTTGCAAATGTACTCATGCAAAAACATCATTGAAAAATATTTTTAAAACTTATTCTAAAGTTTAAATTTTTTCAATGTAGAATTTAAGTTTGAAATAAGAATAAAGAAATATTGTAACAATCATTTATTGTTTTCACCAATGAAAATGAATAAAAACAATATGTTTATCAATCTTAAAATTTTGGCACAATCTCTAATTTTTTTCAACAACACAAGTATTTCAATAACTTGTATGTTAAAAATACCTGCAATTTGTTATAAACTACTCAATAGTTAGTATCAATTAATGCAAAACAATAGAAATGCACAACAAATCACAAAATGAGACAGCCAAATTCTCAATTTATTTTCAACATTATATAATATAAGAATATCTCCCTTTATTGCACAGACACACCTACCCCCCTTGTCCTCCTCCTCCATGTCACACCATTGCTACGAATTTCTCAATAAGTTGGACAATAATGAAGCCTAAAGATATAAAAACAACAACAATCCACAACACAAGAATGTCGACAATAGAGAAGCTAAACAAAGCAAATAAATAAAGAAAGGTGTTTACATAGTGGTTCTGTTAGGTAGAAACCTCCTTTCTATTTTTTGTTTCATTTATTTTGATTAGCTTCTATCTAATATTCCTAATATTCCTATCTAGTGGATTATTATAATTCCTGTTGTTGTTTTTATACCTTTCAACCTCATTAATGTCCAACTTGTTAAAAAACTTGTAAGAATGGTGTATTGTTGGTGTGGCACAAAAAGTGCCCACACAATAATAAGGGGTGTCCACGTAATAAAGGGGGTGTCCACTTAAAAATTCCTATTAATTCAAAAATATAACTTAGTCCATGTACAACTTCCGTGATTAGGATGTGGATGGACGACATAGGTAGATGGGGAGCGTTCATCCGAGTGGATGAATAGTACCACTGGTCGTTCACTTGTTGCCATGGCTAACTACCCTCGAATTTCGCAGAGCACTCTGTTGCTAAACGTCTTTGAAGCACGCCGCCCGGTCCACGTTTCACTTGTATTTGCCTTCGATTCTGTGGCTTACGAGCGGTGTAGCTGTGCTTGCTGCCTGATTTGTACCTCTAACTGCAGAGATTAGACTCAGTATTGAAGTTTTAATTTCAGTTTTACTTGTTTCAGATTGTTTTTCGAACGATTTTTGTGGCTCTTGAGGGGCTTTCCCACCTTTATTTTCTGATGAGTGGAAGAGATTGAGACGAGGTTCCGTGGAGTCGGAAGCTGTAAACAGCATGATATTATGATGGAAATGTTGAAGTTGTCGAAAAAGGAATCGAACTAAGACGTTGCTGTGTAACATGAGAACATGTTGAAGCGGGCTGACGTCCATGGGAAACAGTATGTGGAGTTGTGATTAATCTGGATAGCATATTAATAAATAAACCTTACAAATCCGAAAAATCTTAGAGGGGAGGGAACGTAACATTACTAATTTGGAGAGTGGAAATGGGAGATGAGGTGCATGTTACGGTTAATTACTATGCCCGCGTTGGCTATGGTCATCACATTCAGAGCTACTGCACTCATCTCCTTCTCAAGCGTCCTCGAGAACCTATTCTTCTGTTTTGGCATGTAAGTGGATTCGAACTGTAATGCGACTGATCCAATTTAAAAGTAGAATGTATTTTACATTCCTTTTCTGATGGCTTATCATGAGGTTGTAGTGAACATGACTTGACCAAGGAATTTAACTAGAAGTATATACCTCCATCAGAGGGAGCTAAGCTTGATTGAATCTTAAATTGTTGTGACTCCTCTGGAGTAGCTTAATTAACGTATTAGGTCGTTGAGAAAATGGATAATTCGTCCTTCGCCAAAAGATGGTTAGGTAGTCTTAATGTGGTTTGCATGGTGAATCAGGCTTACGGGTTAATTCTAGAAGGGTCATACTCTGAGGCCCTGCTCGAAATGGAGCCTCTGCAAGACCACCGGGAGCTTCAAGTCGCAGTTCTGGCGGCTATGTTGTATTCCCATGAGCGCTCTCCTTCCCCTGATACTGATACCATTCACACCTTGCGCCGTCGCCTGGAAACTGTGGACCAAAATGCTTCAGAAAGAGCGTTGGTCTTGGCAGCCACTTTGTACTGGCATCTTGGCGGATCGACGCATATACGAAATTCCTACGACCTCGTGACGAGGTCAGTACGAGATTATTTCGCATCTATGACTTTGAAAGTTCAGTTTCTTCCTTGAGCAGGGCCTGTGCGTGTCAAATTGTGGTGTATCTGCGTTGACTCTGTGTATCCAGCAATTATTAAGTTCACTTCAAATTAGAACAGATGGTAAGATAGAGGCTTCCTCGGCAGGTTCTCTGTGGATGACCCCAAGCATCTTGACTTTTCCATTGGGATTGGACAGGGCAGAGTGTTAAGGGTGCAGCCACAGTATACCCAGGCGCAGTGTTTGCTTGGTTGGCTGTGTCTGGGAGACACACACATTCGACACCGTGTGGAGAGCGATATCCCTTCCGTGGATTGGAAAACTGCCGATAAGTCTCTTGTACATTTTGCGGAAGTTCTCAGTAAAGGGAGTAACGCTGAAGCTTTGATGGGAAGAGCCTTTTATCACGAGCTTAAAGAGAATTATACAGAAGCTCTTGCAGACCTCAGTCAGGTATTATTCGGAATGATAATGCAAGAGAGTTCAATCGATGCTGGTAGCTTACACATGATCACAAGGAATTTTTCGGAATCCTGAATCTTAACTGGGTGTAGAGTGTGGACAAAGTGTACGTGAATATATCAGTTTGAATGCATAGGTGAACAGAAGATTTGATCATTCACGTTAAAATTAATGACAATCAGCCATGGTGATTTCCTGTTATAATTCCAAACATGTTTATTGTGATGTGCATGAACAGGTGACAATTCTGCATGCTTGGTTCCTGCCAGCTGTTTTGGAGAAAGCTCGCATGGGATTGCTGCTTCGGGATTTCGACCTAGCCCATGAAACTTCCCAGCAAATCCTTCAGAAGGTCTGTTCCAGCATGACTTTCTTGCCAACATTTGTTAATCGGTTCCCCTCCGCACATAAAGATATAATTATTCTCTGTTCAAGTGTACTCGTTTTATCCTACAATTCTTCAGCAATATACTTAAATGCCTGGTTGGTAAAAAGAATGTGCGAGTAATTCTGGAGCCTCTCTCACCTTAGCGCAGGGGTGCCACGCATTACGTGTTCGATTGTGGTTGAAAGAAGGGCTGAGTAGATAGCTCTAATCTGCTGAAGTTGCTGCTAGAGCTTGCCTTGTGTAATTGTATTCCTCCTTCCAAGATTGATCGATGATGTTGACTTGTTTCCTGACTTTGATTTGAATATTTACAGGATCCTAATAATATTGATGGCCTGCGTATGGCTATCCATTTGCACCTTTGCTCAGACAACAATCAGTCAACAGCAGCTGGCCTCCTCGCCGACCTTCTCCGGAGTATTGAGCAGCGGGAGCCCCAAAATGCATATCTTTGCCTTGAAGGTATACCAAACAGATACTGTGATTCTAAAGTTTAGTCATGGAGATAATTCCTATCTGCACTATTAATTAAATAATTCGAAGGATATTGTACTGCAAAGTTGCATGTGTGACCTAGCTATCATGCTCTGTTTCTTAAAGGAGCAGTCAATAGATCGAATCAGACCAAGACTAAAAAATCATACATGTATGACATGAATTGCAATAACGACCTTTGTACAGTTTCCATCTTGTGTTGCAAGGAACATATCCTAGTTTGCCCTGCTCTGCTTGAGACAGTCGGATCAGTATCGGTGATAATGTTGATGTTGTGCGCCTGTACTAAGTCTTATACATGGAGCAAAATCTTTAGGGGTGGTCTACTTTTTGAGTAAATTCTTTCTCTTTGGTTTGGCTAGTTGTGAGATCAATTGCAAGGCTCGCTGGAAGATGTAGAGTGCTTGTTTTACAAAAGACAATGGCTATCATTGAGCGGGCTCGTCAACTCAATCCTAAAGAATCAGCATTCGTGGTCGAGCTTGCGGACCAATTGTTTCTTCTGGAGGACTATAAAACAGCCTTGGCCACTTACAAGTAAGTCAACCAACAGATCCTTGGAATTTTGGGGTAGGGCACACTCAAGATCACGGAGCCAGTGACTAATCAACGATTCTAGAATTGTTACAAAATTAGAAAATTTGAGAAAGGAATAGAAAAAATATTTTCTGAACAGTTTGATACCCCAACCATCGGGACAGATCAACAGCGAACATGGATGAAGTGAACATGGAGGCCATGTATGGTGCTGTTCAGTGCTTGGTGGTGCTTGGAGACTTTGATGATGCAGAACAACAACTGGAATTCCTTGCCGAGGTCTCGGTCTCTACTGGAAAATCGGCAAGCCTTCCGTACCTTATGGCCCAGCAATGTTGGAGGAAACAGCGAAATGGTTTACGATGTCGTGACCTTTTGGACGAATCTATGGGTATTCAGACAAAAGTACGTGCGCAGTCATTATTTTCTAAGTTCTATAGCTTCAATATTTGGTGAGATGTGTTACACCAGAGCGTGAATCATGGGATTTTCCACCTCTCGAAATCTGATTTTTTCAGTGTCATTGCCCGCTTACACAGTAAGGTGATTAATACATCTACGTGAAATACCGTTTTAAATCGTAACAAAAGCATTCTTATGATGTATGAAGATGATCGTAGAGGTGACTTGAATATTCAAGACAGACAGCCATTATAAGAGCTTCAGTTAATTTTTTATATACCAACCATATCACTGATGTTGTGTTAGCAGAGAATGAGGCATCAACACGATTTCACGTTCTATGCAGACCTGAATCCTAACAGACGACTTGGGATTGCTCATCTTTACATGACAATTTCGCGTTATGAATGTATGGGGCCTCACGTCGAGGAGAATTATTCGCTTCTCCGAGCTGCTGACATTCTAGAGCAGTTGATTGGTCTAGTGCCAGGCCTAATGGATGCTCATCTCATGCTGGCTCGGGTATTTTTCCTACTAGCCGATTGGGAAGCTGCACAACGAAGCATACAGTCTGCAATAGCCCTTGACTTGGGATGTTCAAGTGCTCATCTACTCCTCGCTCAGGTAAAATAATGCACCTATTACCGCAGTCCATCGTTTTCACTTCGTGCACACTAGTATATTGATTTTCACGGGTTGATTTTTTCGTAACAGATCTATGTGAATCAAGGAAAATTTGAGTTGGCAAAGCAGAGCCTTGAGCAATCTCTTAGTGCTGATTTTGTTGTGCGACATACAGTGGTCTATCATGTTCTCCAGGCTCAGATTATGATGAACTCCCAGCAATTTGATGAAGCTTTGAAAGCACGTTACAGACCATCTCAACTTTTTCCGCGGTTTCACGTTTGCTTATGTTTATCTTGTTTTCAGCTAAATTCATCGGTGGCATTATATTGCACAGTACCTATAATGCACATAATTAAAACTGGACGATCTTTTCGGAAGTTGAGCCGGCATGCAGGATTAAAAGCACAAGAGCTGTGCTCTTTTTCCTCTTATATTTGTGTGTCTTTCTTAGATACAATGGACCTCATGAATATTTGATGACAGGTATTGAGGTCAGCAAGAAGTCTGCCAGAGATGGAACATATAGGTAAGGAGTCATCATATTACACATCCAGGAAGCATGTGGAAACCACAGACACCGACAGGGTGATGGTGTTTCTGTTGCTAGTGGAGGTGCACACGCAATTCGGTCGCTTCCCAGAAGCCGCAAAAGCCGTAGAGGATGCCATGGCTGGATTTTCTGGAACTCCGGAGGAGGTGACATATACAGCCCCTCCAATCTGACCAAAATATTTGTCGGCACAATTGTAATGATCCAGAACCGTTTATCCGACCGGTTAAGATTTACCGTCGAGAAAAAAATTACATTCTGTATCCTTCAAAATAAGGAGTTGATAAGTTAAGTGGCCAGGTGTCATCTTGTATTACCTATTCATTTGCGATGAAAAAGTAACACTGTCACACGAGCAACCAAAGGATAGATCACCGACAGATGCAATCTCTCTTCCTTCAGATGCGAGTGGTTCTATCCAATTGTGATCTGGCGCTTTGTCGAGGTGATGTTCCAGCAGCAATTGCAATGCTCAGCCAGGTATCATTATTCCAGAATTCAACCCTTTGGTGGAAGTCACGATTGGAGACAATCGGGTGAAGGGGCGGAAACGTTAAGAAAGTATTTATGACTTCTGTACGCGTAGTCTATACTCATAAACGAGCAGCAATTCTGTTAAGTAAATGTGAATGTCTCTGTTCGTAAGATGATCTTTTAGACACATGCTCGAGATTCTAATTTATCCTGTGTTGTGGTTTGGAACTTTCTTTGACGCATCGGTCGTCCAGATCCCACGAGAAAGCAATTACTATGTGCAGGCTAGAATCAAACTGGCAGATGTGTACTTAAAGCATCAACATAACAGAGTTCTCTACTCTAAATGTTACACTGAAATTACCCAGTTACACCCAAATGCGAAGGTTGAAATCATTACATGGATATGTATCTTCTTTAAAAGGTTGTCATACTTTATGCTGTTTTGAGAGAACAACATCGTGCTCTGTATTTGTGAACTGGAAGCTTATTCGGTAGTTAATTTAAAGATATCTATCCTACAGCGTTTCATTACCTTCTGTGAGCGCTCTTGTAAAAGAATTCACAGACATCGAAGCTCTCATTTCGAAGTCATCTTTTATGTTTATATTTTGATAAATTTTTATTTGTGTTTTCAGACCTACATGTTGCTTGGAGAAGCTCTAATGAAAGTAGATGAACCTGAGGAAGCAATGAGGGCTTTCGAGGTTGCCAGGAAGAAAAGCCCTCTTAATGCGACAGTATCAAAAAAAGTGGGACAAGCCCTGGTCGCCTCATATGAGTATAGAAAGGCAGTGGAACACTACGAGGATACATTAGCCAGCAATAAAGAGAGTCCCGATAAGCTTGAGCTACTTTATGATTTTGGAGGTTCAGTTTCCACAACTTTGCTTTTAAGCTGTTGATATTCCTTTTCTTCTACACAGCAAAAATGAACGTCTTCTTTGCAGAACTGAGCGCCTTTACTTTACAAGATATGCTTCCCATTGAATAACCACTTTTTGATCAAGCTTTTTCCAGTATTATGGTTCTAGATTGAAGCTCTCGTCTTATTATCTTGTGCCGAATATATTTCTGATTTAGCAGACCTCAACTTCAAACTGAGAAATTACAAACGATCTGCCGAGGTTCTTTGCGAGTTGTTAGCAAATGTAGACAATGGTTCCATGGAGCGAAGTTTTAAAAATGGAAAGATGCTCATGCTGTGTCTCAAGGCATCTCTACTTCTATCCAAAGTGCAGAACGTCCAAGGGCAACAGAATTCTTCTCAGGTTCTCATGGAAAAGCTCTTGAAGCTCTAATTCTTACATCTAGATAAAGGTATAACAGAAGCTTCTAAGTACTTCTGCTACAAGAATTTTCAACAGAGAATAATAATTTAGTATCTTTTTCTGTTTTCTAATGTATCGAGATATGTCACAGGGGACGCCTGAGGCGATCAACAATCGGTCCAAGTACCTGCATCACTACAAGGTGCTCTTTTGTCTTCCACAGCATATCATCCTTTACTGGAATAATGTATCCGAATAAGAGACAACTTTCAGAGTTTTGTTTTCAAAAGAGTCGTTTTTTGTTGCACTACCCCCAAAACGGGCATAATAGAAACATTGACAGCATTTCAGGTGATGTTCAAAGCAAGAGATCTCTTCAACAATTACCTCGTGGAGCTCCAAGGACAGCATTGTGACGCCATCAAGGAGCAAAAGCATGTGGCTGCTGACATTTATTTCCAGTTTGCACACGTATTCTTCACCTACCTCTCATATACGCAGGTGTTTAAATGTTTGTGGGATCGTGGTACTCCTGAATTTCGAGAGTCAGGACCCCTAACTGAGGAACAATTATAAATTCCGTTGTGGAACTGTGCCACAGTGCGGAACACCTCTGCTAAATATGTGAAACACAACAATGTGAAACTTATGCAATCACGGGTGGGGCAGCACTGTAGGGATGCGAGGCGAACAATGATGCAGATAAAGCCATATTATTGCTAAACGAGGCACTCAAATGCAACCCTGCACATAGTGCTGCGTCTGTAGCTCTTGCGAAAATCCTTCTTGCAAGGTTTGATCCTAGTTCTACATTTTGTCTCCGAGTGAAGGATACTGTAAAAGTTAGATGCTACCTAGTGTACCGATTTGTTTCCAATGTTATTATGGTTTGGTTATTTGGTTAGTAAACTCAAATGCGTAGCACCTATCAAAACATGCTCGAAAGAAGAGCTACTTCTGAGATGGAAGCAATTCTGAAAAGAAAGGGGATAAAAAAACGAGGACATCACGAAAGACTTAAAGCAGCTTATAGAAGTTTTATCGTAGATAACTTTGGTGGTGTAATCTGAAAGAAATGTCCATGAGTATGAAACACGATGTCCCTCGCATATGGAACAGCTATAATAGGCGTAATCGATCGGATTTTCAAATCTATTGCGAAATCTGATGCTTTCTATGACAGGGGGGACGTAGGAGAATGTGAGCAAAGGTGTGCGGCACTTCTTAGAGAAAATCTTTTTTACGATGAGGCTGGAGACATCTTGGTGTATCTCATGATTCAAAGGGAACTCTATGAATCAGCCATCATGCACTATCAGCAAATTTTGGAGCGTGATCCAAATCACTACTCTGCACTGTCCCAAGTAAGTTATTGATTTCTAGTATTATTGATGTGTTTGTAAGATTTTGAGGCTTGGAGCGATCTAAGTATAATAATAAAAAAATGAATAATATGGATCCATCTAGTGTATTGAAGAAATCAATAAATGTTCAAGTATGTTTCGTAATTTTTTCACCTATTTTGAGTGTTGTATTAAACTTCTCAGCTACTGAAAATCTCTGTACTTCTAGTTCATATAGTTCATCTTCTATGGACTTACTGGAAGTACTGCAATCACACAGATGTAGTGAACTTTGAACAACTGCAAGGGGATTTATGCTCAGATTGAGCGTGGATTTTCCAGGAAAAGATGATACGTATTAGACGATTGGATTACAAGCATTTACACATTTCAAACGAATCTCTTTTTCATGCATTTGCAGCTTATAAGGCTATTCAGGAGGACCGGTAGACTTGAGGAAATCAACCAGAATCTGAGTAATGCAGAGAAGGCTACACCGGCTGCTACTTTTCACGCAGGCTTAAATTTCTGCAAGGGTTTGGTCGCACTACACTCAAACAAGCCATATGAAGCCATAATGGTTCTACATCTGTCTGACCTTTATGGATACAAGCTATTGACTCGATGCTCTAGATTTTTGAAGTATCGAAGAGTATATGTCGAAGATAGTAATAGTGTAAAGAACCCAGAGTTTGATGGTGTTGAGACATGCCATGATATGTTTAAGATTGACAGTGCTTCTGAATTTAACTGAGATACATCATTTCATTGCAGCTTCTTAATACTGCTCGGACCGACTACGACTGGGGAAAGCCCGCGCTCTTTGTAATGGTCGAAATTTATCTCAACATTGAAAATAATCTTGGTTTTGAGGAAGGTAATCTAGAGGGAAACACCAGCCCTAATGACGAGGCTATCAAGGTAGCGCAAAAGCTGTTGAGTGAAAGCCGGTGAGCCTCGAAATAACTTTTAGACTCGCTTATTTGTTACTATCCAACGTGAGCATCTTTGTGAATCTTATTAGTTCTTCTCTTTTTGTCGAGTGGTGTACAATGGAAAGTTAAGCTAATTACTTTGTTTGAATTAATCTAACTGTAAAGGGATTTGTTGAAAATGCGTGAGTTACAACATAAGTAGTGTACACGAACTGTTGCATTTTTTGCAATTGTGTAGAAATCTGGAAGGAAATACAGTTAAACAGTCAGTGCTGGAATGCTATGCATCGATGGCAACTCGTCACAAGGATGATGTCGAGAACGCACTAGTTAAGCTTCAGGAACTGTCGAGTCAAGATTCGACCCTCCGAGAGAAAGAGCGAGTATGTACCATGCTTGCCATTGCTACTGGGCTCACACTGCTCAGACAAACTGCAAAAGCAAAGAATCAACTTCGAGCCATAGACCGTATGCCATACAAATGGGATGATGGAGATGACTTCGAGCGAGCATGGCTAATGTTAGCATATATCCATCTGCAGGTACATACATTCATGCAGTTTTCTGTTTCTAATCATCTATTAAATCAAACAGAAATATGGAGAAAATTGCGTAAACATATGGAGACAATTGCATACTTTTTGGACTTCATGAAATGTACAGTCGCCTCGGGTTTTTAGTGGTACTTGTCAGTTGAGGAACAATGCAAATTCTCAGTTTAGTGAACATGTCTTCCCGTCATTTTCACCAGCAGCTGCGTGGCTTCCAATTACTGATGCTATGTAAGTGATTTGCTTATCAAGAAAACGTTGTGCTTTATTTTGTTTCGTTTTGCCTTCTTCTTGAATCAAGGTCATTTTGCATGAAACCAAATCTTTCAGGCAGGAAAACAGGAGGCATCTGAGGAGCTTTGCAAAAAATGTCTGAAGTACAACAAAGAATGTTCCAAGGCATGGGAGCTGTTGGGCTGGATAATGGAGAAAAACCATTCGTACCCAGAAGCTGTCGGCTTCTACGAGAATGCGTGGAAGTGTCTGAAAGAATCATCACCCGCAGTCGGTTATAGACTCGCATATATGTATCTTAAGGACAAGAGGCACATTGAGGCAATAATCGTGTGCCAGAAAGTTCTACAAATCTCGCCCAACTATCCAAAGATCAAAAAAGACATCCTTGAAAAAGCTCGTGTTTGTGTTCGAGCATAGGAACTAAAAAGTACCATGATCCATCTCCATAGCATAAATGTTTTGATCCCACAGACTCGCCCTCTTTAGAAATGCACTGCAAGGTTTGGGGTGAGTTTGATCCTTGATTACATAATCGACGTCGTCCAGTCTCCAGAAATCCCTAGTGATCACATCAACTACGAAGCAGGAGAAACTCACAAAACTCAATGATCGCTGCTGGATGCTAGATAGATGCTGGGTGCTTTTAATGTTTTATTTTACTGTGTGTGGTTATGATAGTTGTACCTTACATTCATTTATGTATTGATATTATTACAATGTGACTATTTCAAATATATATATTTAAAATAAAACATTAAAACTGTCATTAAAACATTTAAACTTTTAGTGTGATTTTGGTTTTCTTCTGAGATTGGTACATGCCTAAATAATTTCTTTGATATTTTTATTTTCAGATCATAAAATACTCTTTGTAATGATCCTCATGTAATAATTAATTACATGAAAATCCATCAAATTCTTTTTTAATTTTGTAATTAGTTAACCTTCTATCCTGTTTGAATATTTCTTCATTAATTAAAAAGCCTAATCTAATGGTTATATTACGATAGTAATCAAAAAGAAGGTAGTTGAAGCAAACAATTATCAATATTTTTATTAAATTCAATAAAAGATAATAACATAAAAATATATATAATTTTCATTTAAAATCCGCTTACCATCTATATTTTTACCAATGTAATGAAGTATGAAGATTTATAGATGTAGCGGTTTTTATCATTTGAAGTATTAAATTTTCAATTCTTCAGCATCACAAGGAATTTTGAACATATGAAAGGAACTTTTTTTTAAATTAATTAATTAAAAAAAATAGAAATGCAAATTTTCCAATTAGCATTTTTAAAAGATGTGTTTGTAATTAAAATTCACTTTAGTTAATACTGTGTTAGTACAATAACGCCATTTTAAAATACATATATAATGTGTGTTTTTATAATAATCAATTTATTAATATTTTATTTGATTCTTCATTCAAATTTAATAGAAATTTATTTTTATAAAAAATAATGAAATATACTTAAATAAAAACTTATTGCAATACTTGAATAACATGTAGAAATTTTGTGCCTGTTTTTATTATCATACATATGTTAGATTACTTATATTTTATTTTAATTTAAATTAATATTGAAGCTTTTTCTTTTTGCATTTACTTAATAAATTTTTGGAACGTACTTTATTAATTTATTACAAGGTAACACATATCATCTTTTTTGTAGGTATACTAATTTAAGTATTAGAAATTTATTTATTATTTTAAGCTAATAGTATTTGTGAGATCTTTATTAAACACTTTCTAAGATTGTTTTATAATCCAATATATAATAAAATATATACTTAAAATATATTTTATATTTATGTTATTTAGTTTGAGTAAATCAACCAAAATACGTTTTTTTAAAAGATTAATATTCAAGATCATATGTTAGAATCAAATTTTTATACTATTATTATGAAACTTCATAGATATTTTGTATTCTGCTCATAATTATATTCTAAATTTTTTATTTTTAAAAGGTGTAATAAAAAATGATTTTATAATATAAAAATTAAACTTTTTAATATTCATTTAATATTATTTAATATAATACCATGGTCTACACCAACTATAAAAAATATAAAATATTTTTCAGTGAAAATACACCAAAGTTTTGACAATTTAGACAAAGTATATGGTAATTGTTTTTTTACCTTTAATATGTACAGTAATCAAAAACCATTTTTTTTTTTTTTTAAAACTCGACACTAATTTTTAATCTTCTTATTAAAATACATTATATACTGAATATTTTATAAACGTATTATATACTCAAATATTTTATAAATATAAACTCAAATATTTTATTTTTGAAAATTCACAACCAATGTTTCAGTAACATATGATTCAATAGCTAAATTACATTATTAATTATTTAGCTTGCTCAATAGATTTTTTCCAGAATATATATATATATATATATATATATATATATATATATATATATATATATATTCTTGTATTGTTATACTTTCTTTACATAAATTTTCATATTTTTTTAGAATTTTTATTTAAAGTTATAAAAACTTAAAACTTTTGAAATGATAATTTAATAAAAAAAGACATTATGCATCATCTTTATTGTAAATTATGATGTTTGTCAAAATAAATTCCATGTATAGATAATCATTTAAGCAACATCAATATAAATTTGGATTTTCTTTGAATAATAAAAATTAATTAATTTATTACATATTTTATCAAATTTATGTTATTTTACTAAAATACTTAAAATAAATTAAGATCTTAGGCCTAAATTAGACATTTGTAATTTACTTCAAATGTATGTATCTATTAACAACATATTGTGTTTATATTTTATATATATATATATATATATATATATATATAATCCAATTAATTTTATAGCACAAGAAAAAATAAAATAAAATTATATATATATATATATATATATATATATATATATATAATTTTATTTTATTTTTTCTTGTGCTATAAAATTAATTGAATTATTAAGCTTATATTTTAAAAATTTGATCAATACCCATCACATATATTAGGTATCTATTATTGGTCTTATTGTATTATTCTTTAATATACTATCAGCTCTCTTTTAAGGTGGCCAACAATTACAATCATAATACCTATGTAATTCAAATTTATAATACAAAAAATAAATTTTGTGAAGTGGTTAATTAAAATTAAATTTAAATGCATGTTGCAATTGGTGGAGCCTTGAATGCTAGGATTATAAAGCATTACAATATCTTTGGTACAACAATGGATATAGCTTAGGTTATATGTCTTAATTGCAATCTAAGGTTGTAGTTTTCCATAGATACAATGTAATAAGATTAGATTAGAGTAGAAAGATCAAAAAAAGTATTTTTTATTTTATTTTATTTTATTTTTTCAAAATTTAAGAAGGCACAATTACAACACATGTTAAATACATGAAGGAAAGCATTTTCAACTTGATAATAGTTCTTATAAGTAATGGAGCCAACACTTAAACTAAAAATCTTAATTTGTCAATGAGATTTTTTAGAAGCTACACTAATTTACTTGTTCTTATCAAATGGGACAAATTTGTACTAGACCAAGATTTGATGAGACTAAAAATGGTCAAATTGTATTAAAATACTATTACTGTCTACTTTTTGGATAAAGAATCACAAGACTCTAGTCTTAAGATTTGAAAGGAAGAACTTAAACAAATTTTAGAATGCTTATTTTTTAAAAGACCGTTAGATGGATGCTCCATTTTTATTACATGGTTATTACATGTCTCCTCCCTCCTCTCTTTTTCTCTCTTGCCATAGATCCTTACATATATACAATAATATTATTACCATATCAATTTTTTAATTAAAAAAATCCAAATTAAAAAACTTTAGTTATAAAATAAATCTATTCTTCTTAAAAGATCCATGGATTACAACAAGTTAGAAGAATTTGGACTCAATACAAACATAAGGAGTCATGTATCCAGAAGATGAGGATATTAATATGATTTTATAAATTATTTTTGTAAAAAAAAAAAAAAAAACTCTCTTGAGATCAAGGTAATACATTAAATTCAAAGGTCAAATATAATTTTTTTATGCCCAATTATGTACCAACTTACAAATATTTTTTGTACTAATTTTGTCTTATAAAAATTCTAAATAAATAATATTTAATAGTAGAGTAGCAATAAGAAATTCAAAAAACTTTTGCTAGAAGTAATTAGAAGCAATTGCAATACAGTAATGTCAAAGAAGACTTAAAGTTACATCATTTACAATCAATTGTTTCAAAATTAAAATCCACAAGAAATAATTTAAAGAAATCTTTAATAAATCAAGATTTTTTTTTTGGTTTTTATTCTCATTGTTATAAAAAAATAATGTGATTTAAAAGAGTCAATAGAAGCCTTTAATTTTGTTTTTAAAGTGACATTTTTAAAAAATTATTAATAAAATAAATTTAAAATTATCTCCTCTTTTAATTTGAATAAATTTAAAGAATCTACTAAATTAAAAAAAAAGTAAGACATAAGTTTGGTGTTCCAACATAACTATAAGATAAAATAGAAATATAAATTATAGTTTAAAAAGACATGGATAAAAAGATAGGGAGGTAATAATCATATATAATATTAATATTATATTTTTACAAAACTTGGCTTCAAAAGCTAAAAATTGATACTTGGAGAGGATTAATTGTAATCTAGGCTTGAAATCAGATCCAAAGACACAAAACCACACACCTTTGGTAATTCTGGGATAATTTTTTTAATTGGAGAGTAATATTTGAGAGAAAACTTGCTACAATTTGATAAAACGTTAATTTTGAGTGATTTGGAATATTATTGAATTTCTGAAAGCATTTCAAAGTGAAATGTGTTTTAAGTGGTTTGGAATTTTGAGAAATAAAATAAGGTTTATTTAAGAATTTTATAAGAATTATAGCATATTGACAAATTAAAATTTGTAAACGTATGTATCTACTTGTCTCAATTTTTATATATAAATTTAAACATCATAAAATAGTTAGATCCAAGGTTATTGAAATCTAATTGAAATAGGATCTTGGAATTTAGATTCCAAGGATTAACAAGAATTTCTTTGAACTTAAATAATATTTTGATTGGATTCTTTTCAAAAAAATTAAATAAAAAAATAAAAAATAAAAAAAAATTGAATCAGTTATGAATTTAGTTTTCAAAATATTTTCCAATTTCTGAGTGCAAGTGAATAATTAAATGAAGATTTATTACTCCTTAAAAATCAACATCAAGGTTGAAGGAAGAGAACAATCAACATCCAAGCAATTAAAGAGCTTTTTTTCTCAATTAGTAGGTTGGATTCTTTTGAAAAATTTCATGCTTGTTTTTGATCACTAGATTGTCATTTGTGCAAAGTTTTAAATAAAGTTGAAGGTTTAATCAATATTTATTGAAGTTTTAAGATTACTAGAGTATTATTTAAGGTTGTTTAGGTTCTAGTAAGGATTTCATTAGGATTTTTTAAAGTTTACTAGGACTTTTTAAGGATATATTAGGATTTTGTTAGAATTTTCTTGTGGTTTTTAAAGATTTTATTTGGATTTATTTAGATTTTTTAAAGATTATGAAGGTTTATTTAGGATTTATTTTAGTTAAATTAAGATTTGATTAGGATATTTTTAGGATTTACTTAGAGATTTTTTATGATTTTTTTTATATATTTTTTAGAATTTCTTTAGGATTTTTTTAATGTTCTTTATAATTTCTTTGAACTTTTTTTTATGAATTATCTAATTATACTTTTAGAATTTATATAAGATTTTTTAA